GTTAAATACGAGAAGAAAACAAAAGTTTATACATCAATTACGATAGCCCATCGTTGATTCGCTGCTACTGTGTACAGTCTGTGCCGTTTCACATATAACTTTTCATTGATACGTGCAGGAAACACTATTAATAAAAAAAGGAAAAAAAAATTAGATAATTATGTTGCATCAGAAACCTACGTTAATTTCGTCGATATAAGCTAATTTTTAGTATCAACATTTCTGAACATATGACTAAGAATACTTTTAATGATCATGACAGCAACAAGTCACTTCATATTTTACCTATCATGTTTTATAATTTTGCCTTGTAAAAATAATTCGTATTCCGTTAAACATACATCATCATGTTTATGCACTATATTGAAAAGAAATGACAGCTTGTATCAACTTCAACTAAATTCCACTTTTTTCGTTATTTATAATAGGCCATTTATTCTTCTCAAATTTTTGGTGAGAACTAAGTTACGTCTCAACTACTGTCATTTGAAAATTCTTGATTAATTCCTTCGAGTGAATGCATGAAAAGTGATTTTTGTTGTGCCTGATTTATTAAAAAATAGTAAACAATGATTCATGGTTGACACAACATGAATTTATTTAAGCTATTAATATCGAGAAAATAAGATTCCTACGATGTGCAATAGAAATCAAATCGACAGATGTTTATTGTTCGATCTTTGATAGATAGAATATATATAGTTAACAATATGAAAATGCCACAACAAAAGAAATCGTCACTAGCATAATAGGTAATGATACGATGAAAGCATTTTTTGAATCGAGCAAAATACACGTAACAGTCAACTTGAATCTATTAATAAAACTCTTACTTCATTGAGATTTGACAGCAAGAAGAAATATGCAGACATTACAAATGAATTTCGATCAGTAATGAAAAGAAGTTTACTAATATTTGACAGCAGATTGATGAAAATGCTCGATTGTGGCGTCGGGATTTGAACGAGCTGTAATTGTTGTGATTTGACTTACTCGCCTTCGTTGTCGCCAGAGAGTAAACTGTCATATAAACTTGGTGCGCAGCCCTGATAATGATAAAAAACATACAATTGGAGAGAGAAAAATAATGTTGCAATAGTAAAAATTGCTAGTAATCACGCTCATTATCGCAAGTTTCGGTGGTAAATCACATTGATATAAGTAAAAATCACGAAGACCCAAGACAGATTGAATATAACGTATACGGATGGAATGATGAGTAGTTGAAGAGGCATCTTTCGATGTTTTTGCCATTCAACTGATTGACGAACATGAGTTTTGTGCATTATTACACGAAGGATTAGAAGCAATAAGAGTTGGAGTAACTTGATGAAATATAAGATTCCATGTGGTAATACGGTTCAATTGAATGCATATGGAAGATAAATATCTTCGGATAAGAAACTAGCAAATAGAATTGTAAAAGATTTTACGAAATCGATAATCCAAGAATAGATATAATAATAAATTGTAATGATGCACGATGGCAAATAGTGAGTCAAGAAACAACGTCTTCTCGTTGCTACCCATTGATTGTAAAATATAAGTACATGCCTTTCGATTGAAGCCCAATAAAATAATACTATTTGAAGTGAATAATATATAAGTAGTCAAGGAAAACCCAAAGCAGATAGAATGAAGGAGATGCCAACCAAAGAGTAAAATAAGAACTATTACGCAAAAAGAAAGGAATATTTGTTAATTAATAGAAAAGACCGAGTAAAAGGGTTGAAAATCAGGAAATACCATACTCGAATATAATGAAGAATTCTAAATTTCGATGGTGAATTAGAATCCTCAATTATAGAGTTACCATTTAAATTAGACATCTTTTCAGAATACGAAAATTTGACAAAGAAATAGAAGAAATTGCACAAAACGAGCAAGATTGAGAGAAGACAAGCATATTAATTTCGAGTATGTTATGAGATATGACAAGTAGATCATCATTATTACCTACTTTATCCTAGAGGAAAATGATATATTTAGCACACTAAAGACGTCTCATGAAGTATTCGTCAACCAAGCTACTATATACATTTTATTTTATTTTTTTGACAGTTTCAAAGATAAGGTGTTCGAGATTGTTTTGAAAATTCTTTGAGTGTTTTTCGGATTGAGAATAGATATTCTAAATTCCGAAAATCCTTAAATTATCTCAGATAGCAATATTTTTCGAAACCCTTAACAATTTTCAATGTTCGAAAAATGATTAATTTTTGTGAAAACTCTTCAGGAGTTCCAAAAATGGTACTCTCTGAAATGTTCTCGAGGTGTTCGAAACAATTGTGCAAACCCTGTGCTTGTATACATTATAGGAAACATATTTTTCTATAGTGTAGAAGATCTGATGAGTGGTCAATATTGGATCAGAGTCAGCTAAGATGCAATTTTTCTCTTGATTCAGATTTATCACAAATATTCCTTTACATCTCAAAAGGTCGATTATCGGAAGTTTTACAAACATGTATACATCAGTTTTAAGACGAAATTTCCCCTTTGCACATTAACTAACACACTGGCATATATCATGTATTACTACGGCAGCATTTAACATAGGCAAAAATTAACGCCGTATGGTTAGTGAGCTATTTACTCGATTTCTAAGTAGGCAAAAGCCATCTCAACGATATGCTCTACCAGTATGATTAAATCATAGAATTTGAACGAAAACTGGAAGTAAATATTTAAGAAATCAAAACTGTAAAGCCAAAAACAAAATCGAAGTTTCGTAGCCATCGTAAGGGAACGTTTCAAAATGTTTGCCGGTCGGCCGGCCGCTCTGCCGTTCAGCCGCTCGGCCGCTATGCCGTTCTGCCGCTGTGCCGCTCTGCCGTTCTCATGCCG